CGTGGAGAGACCGGGCCTGGGCGTGGCGGAGGGAGCCGGGGGCGTGGCAGCTGGCTAGTAGGCGGGGCAAGCCCTGGTTGGCACCGAGCGAAGATCAGTGGGCGGGGTGAACAGCGCGCGGGCGGGTGGGCGGGCCCTGGGCGGGCGCCAGAGGAAGTCACGTGGCGCGCATTCACATGACGGGCGGCGCTATGGACCCGCTGCCCGCCGCGGCAGTCGCGACGGCTGCTGAAGCGGAGGCTGAAGAGGAGGCGGATCCCCCGGCGTCAGGTGAGGCGGGCGGTCCACCTGCCCCGCTGGCGGCCCTGTCCCCAAACTTCTCGGTTACCGCGAGGGCCTTCGGCTGTCTTCGGCCCTCCGGGGCCCCGCGGTTCTCGGGGGTCTCACACCCCACTCCCCTTCTCTCAGTCCCCTCGCCTGGGAGGGCCTCCATTCGGCTCACGGCGGTGAAACTCTAACGTCGGTCCAAGTTTGAGCCTCGCGGCGCGCTCCTGCCCTGGGTTTTCCGAAACCCCGGAGTCCCCGCGCGCCCCCGCTTCCTGCGGTGCCTCTCTGTCAGCCGCGTGGCGGGACCTCGGACAAGTAACCTGGCCTCTAAGGATTTGTGTCTCATCTGTAAGCCAGACATACTTGGCTTTTCTAGATTCTGTTTAAATGTCTCCCTCTATGCGTCTAACTGGAAAATAGAAATAGGTAGATGTTCTTGTCTGTATTGTCTTTTTAGTAGTGGAGCACAAGATTAGGGGACTTCGCCTGGGGTTTGGCAAATTGTCACGGAGGAGGCCGCATTTAGAGAGAGTTCTGGAGCGTTTTGAGCAGTATGTTCAAGGGAAAAAAAATGAGGGAGTAACTGAAGCTTCGGGGCGGGGGGGGCATTGCACTGGGTCCACCTGATTGATATAAAAACTCTGGGCGTGTCTGCAGGTGGGCAGCACATGGCTCCCACTCTCCCCTCGGTCCCCCCACCCCCATTGGTTTTCAGTTGTTTTTCCTTTAACCTGTGTTCAGCGGAAGGGAAGAATGTGACGACTTTTGCTTTTGGTTAGAGTATTGTGCTGGAAAGGTATAGGTTTGAACCCAAAGTGGATCAGTGGACCCCACCCACAAGACCCCTACCCCGCGTCATATTTGGAAATGGGAAGTTGTGATTGGGTCTAACTGCACCTTGGGCAGTTCAGAGTCGCTGGCCGTGGTGATGTTTCAGGGGTCTCTCTGTAGTTAACATTTACAGCAGTAAATGTTCCACCCAGGACTCAACTCCTGGCTGCTATTACAGTTAAGAGGAGCTCACCGATAATGCTCTCCCTGACTACCCACAGGTGGGGTGTGGTAATTTTATTTGGAGTGCTCATGGTTTCTACCCCATAGCACTTGTAGCACTTTTCAATATTCTGTAGCCCTGTGAGTCTCAAAGAGAGTTCATGGAACCATTGGGACATAGCCTGTCATTTTATTCCACTTAACACCTTCTGCCCATTCCTTGAGGCATGTGAATCAGTAGATCAAGCACTTT